GTTCCCCCCATGGCAAGGGCGGCCCCTGGCTGCGACCCACAGCAGTTGTTCTCCTCGCTCCTTCGCCCACTGCGCAGCCCTCTGCTTCCCGACGTGGCAACGAATGTCCTGATTCGCATAGATGGCGACAGCTTCAAGAAATTTGCCCTCCCGAAACCGCGGGTCTTCCGGCGACGTCGCAACGAGCTTTCTCTTCTCCCGCTCAGCGTTGCAAGCGTCACATTCGAGCTCGTGCTGCTTCGCAAATGCCTCTGTGTCCTCGAGACAACGCGCGCTTCCGCACAGCGGTGCGCCGTTCACCCGCGACCCCGGCGCATCCGTCGGTCTGCCATGCAAAAAAAAATACGCGTCCGTTCCGACAACGCCCCTCGGCGGAACTCGTCCTGCACTGCGAGAAACCAGTCGTCTGGATCCTCCACGCGCTTGCACTCCGTCAACTCCGTCATGCCCTGCACTGCCCCTTCGCCCCCAGCGCCCTAAAAGATGTACTGTCCGTGGTCCCCCGTGGCACTCGGCGCGTACTTCCTCGCTTTTCTTAAATGCGACGTGGGCAGCGCATTGATGGCCGCCCCTGATGGCGGCTCCAATTGATAGAAATCCCCGCAGAACAACACATTCACGCCCCCGAAGGGCCTGTCCACGCCGTCTGCATCTACTCTCGTGTCTTTCGCAGCTGACATGCACGACCGCAAGTGCGAGTCAACCTCTGCAATGAAGTTCGCGCTGACCATGCTCACCTCGTCCAATCAGCCACTTCCACTGTGACATACGCTGCGCCGCTTGCTCTTTCTTCGTGTTCTTCTTCGTCTCTGCGGTAGCATCGCCCGCCGCGTCCTTTTTCTCCTTCGTTTTGTTCGCGACGAGGCCAAATGCACTGTGGATCGTATTGCCGTCAAGAGCTGACGCGTTTGCAGCCTGCAACGCTGCCGCCTGGAAATCTACGCCGCGCGTCCACCCCAGCTCCTTTTCGAACAGCCCCTTGCGGATCTTGTCAATGACGAAACTTTTCCCGGCCCCCGGGCCACCATGCATCATCCACGCGAGGGGCTGCATATCAGAACGGCTCTGGCCTGCATTCTTTCCGCTCGCAGAACTCCCAACTTCTTGCGCCAACACTCGATCTGCTACCTTCTCAACGACGCTACGCTGTCCCGCGCTCAACCCGCGATCCGCGAGCTCTTTTCTCCACTTCCGCACACTTGACGCCGCTGCTTTCTTGGCCGCCACCACCTCTGGGGCACCTTCCTGTCCACCCGCGCCGCCGCCTTCTGCGGCCCTCGACGCCGCCGCCACCGCTTGCGCTGTCTGCGCTGCCGCGTCATCCCACCACAACGCACCGCCCCCTCCGCGCTTCTTCAGCTTTCCATCCTTTCGACTAGGCCTTTCGGCCCACACGGCGTCGCCTTTGGCCATGGCCTCCCGGCTCTTCTCCTTTTCGCACTCCGCCTCTATAGTTGTCCGCCTGTCCTCTTTCTCCATGGGCGCGCCTCCCACGTGCGTCTTACGCCTGGTCGCCGCGTCGACAACTCTCGGGTCCAGTTCTTCATCGCTGTACAGCTCGTCCTCGTGCTTGACAAGATCTTCGTCCGTGACTGGTCGCAAATCCACCACACTCAAGTAATTCTGCACATGCCTCTTTGTTTCTTCACATAGCATGCCTTTCCTTAACCACTCCAAAGATGCCTCCGCCCACGATTTCTGCGCTCCACGGAACTCCCGCAGGTGCGGCGCTCCACAGTCGACATCGTCAAGAAGTGTGAAGGCCCGGAAATATACCATCAACAAGAGCCCGTTCCTCTACTCCTGCCCCGCTCCGTGCTTCGGCTGCGGCGCTCCATGGAAACTCGGGTTCCTCGGGAGCTCGTTCCGCACCAGCACCCACGTGTGCCTTGCAGTTTCCAGCTCAGGAATATCTGGAAACGGAACCCACGAATAACTCCCCAAACCCTCTTTGATCACATAGTCCACTCCGGCTTTCAACTGGGCTCCCGCCTGCGCGCCGCCTTCGTCGGTTTCCGCTCTCTCCTGGTCTGCTTTGCGAACCTTCTGCGTACCCGACAGCGTCAGCTCTGCCTGGTACTCATTGCTGGCAGCAGCTGCCAGCTCTGCTCCGCTTCGGGGAAATGCTGCCAATTCGATGCGCCAATATCGCAAAAAAACTCATACAATGATAAGTGTGCCAAGTCGGGCGCACCAGGAGCGTCCACTGGCCGCATGCCATACAAGTACACTGGACTCTTAAATACAATTCGAACCTTTTTCAACCCTTCGCGTTTGTCCGCTTCCAAAAACCCCGACGCCTCTACGGTGACACCGTCCCCGTCTGCACACAGCCGTTCCGCCATGCGCACGGCTTCTGCTCCCGGGATCATGGCTGTCTTCGCAGTCTTGATACTCTCAGCAGCAGTCACGTCTCTGGGGTCTCGGTACGCTCGCAGATTCGCACTTTCCTGCGCTGACTGCACCACGCCTCTCCCGTACATGTCACTGAGAAATCCGCCGACCCCTTGGGGTTCATCGGCGTGTGAAATGTTTCCCCCTCCCCAAACCCCTCCCCCGGGAGCCCGGTCCTGTCAATTTGGAGGGGGGGGGTCCCCCCCTCCACCGGCCGAACGCACCCGGGGTCCAAAAGGGGCCAAGAGGACCCCAAGAGGGACCCCGGACGGCCCAAGAGGGCCACGAGTTGCCGAAAGATCGCTACGAGACGCCCAGGATGTCTTCCAATCAGCCGCAGAGGCCTTTAAAACGCCCCAACATGTCCTCAAGAAGCGACCCAAGAGGCCCTCAGGAAGCAAAATTCGTCAAATTCCTTTGCAAAAACGTACATGTTTGGCACATCCCCATCTTGAGCTTTCACACAGTCCACAACGGCTCTCGAGGCCTTCACAATCGCCCGAAGAGGGCCCCGAGACGGCCCAAGAGGGCCCCAAGACAGCCCAAGAGGGCCCGAAGACGGCCACTGAAGACTCCAAGACGGCCCAGGAGGGCTCCAGGACGGCCTCAAGAGGAAGCCAAGACGGCCCAAGAGGCGCCCATGATGGCCCAAGAGTGCGCCAAGACAGCCAAGGAGGCCCCAAGAGGTCCCCAAGAAGCGACCCAAGAGGCCCCCCAGGAAGCAAAATTCGTCGAATTCCTTTGGAAAAACGTACATTTCTAGCACATCCCTCTCTTGAGCTTCCACTCCGTCCACAACGGCTCTCGAGGCCTTCAAATCGCCCGACGAGGGCCCCGAGACGGCCCAAGAGGGCCCCAAGGCAGCCCAAGAGGGCCCCAAGACGGCCACTGAAGACTCCAAGACGGCCCAGGAGGGCTCCAGGACGGCCTCAAGAGGAATCCAAGACGGCCCAAGAGGCGCCCATGATGGCCCAAGAGTGCGCCAAGACAGCCACGGAGGCCCCAAGAGGTCCCCAAGGGGCCTCCAAGAAGCCCCCAAGAGGGCCCGAGAGGCCCCCCAGAGGCCGAGACGGCCCCCGAGGCCTAAGGAAATCCCCAAAAGGCTCCAAGAGACCCCCACGAGGCCCACACGAGGCCCCAAGATGCTTCCCAGACGCCCACAAGAGGTCCCGAGAGGCCCCGCATCCCGCCCCCCCACCCCCCTCGGAGATATCAAAACTGGCCCCCGTGGCATCCCAAGAAATCCCGGAAGCCATGCAAAACGCCTCCAATCGACGACACAATCGCGGCAAGATGCCTCCAAGAGTCTCCCGCAGCGAAAATCCCGAATTGCCTTGATGGTTGGCACGTGTCGTTGTTACCGTCGTCGTCTTCCCCCCTCTCCTCCCCCCCATCCCCCCCCCCCCTCCCCTCCCGCATTCCTCCTGCTCCTCTCCCCCGTCCTCTACTCCGTTCTTTTCGCTCTCTTTCCCATCCTCCGGCGGCGGCAAGACCTCCGCCTGTCCATCCCGTCATTGGCGCCACGGCGACGGAGCCGCGCCGCTAATTCCCCAAGGGGTCGGCGGTGTGGCGTAAGCCCAAGAATCGTGTCATTCCCTTAGGAAAGCGTGCATGTTTAACATATCCGCCTCTTCGTCTTTCACACCTTTCAAGGCGGTCCAAGAGGCCCCCAAGATCACCCCAAGACGGCCCGAGAGACCCTCAAGACCGCTCAAAGACGGCCCAAGAGCGCTCCAAGAAGGCCCAAGAAACCCTCAAGACGGTCCAAGAGGCCCCAATACGGCCCCATGATTGAGGTCCACGGGGGCAACCTGAACGGAAATTTTGAGCCTCCCGCCCAAACACGCCCCCGAAATGCCCCTACAAGCCCCCAAGTAGCCCCACGAAGCCCCCAAGAGAGCCCCAAGAGGCCCCCAACAGGCCGCAAGAAAGCCCCAAGAGGCACCCAAGAGACCCCCACGAAGCTCCCAGGAGGCCCCCAAGAGGCCAGGCAGACCCCCCCAAGAGACCACAAAGAGGGCCCACCCAGAGCCATCCACGAGGCCTCCCAAAGTTCCCAAGAAGCTCCCACGAAGCTTACAAGGGCCCCCAAGACCCCCCAAGACCCCGCGATGGCACAATACGGGTCGGCGGAATGAGCGAAGCGATTCAATAATCCTTCAAGAGCAAGTGACTGGCCAAAATGAAGGCCGGCCAGCCAGCTGGCCGCTGCGGGAGAGCGCGGGTGGGCCAGGGGCCCGTCCAGTGCATGTACTGGCGGAAGACGTGTTCCCAGCTGACCCACTGCAGTTACCTGGCCGAAAAACGCAAACGAGCCAATGTTTGTCGCCGCCCCAATCTCGCCAACGCCCGGACGTCCATTCCGCTTGCATGTTTCGAGTAGTTCGTGCGTGTACTTTTTCGCGAGATGGCCCAATATGCTGCTTGATGGCCCTCGCCGAGAAAACATGCACACGTCACAGCGATACCACGCGATGGCCTTCTGCATGAACTGTGATATCCTGAGGCGCAGGAGGAGTGAAGGGACGTCGTCGACGTCGACGTCGACGTCGAAGTAGTGACAGGACATCAGACGGAGCGGGCGGGGCCGCGCGGGCGCGGCAGGCCAGGAGGTACGACATGGTCTCGCGCGGCATCTCGGCGATGCCCACGTGGCAGCGCTGCAGCTGCTGCCTGGCGGCGTCGAGCACCTGGCGTGGCGCGCGGGGTCTCTGCGGCCCTGACGGGCGACCCCGGGCAGCACGCGCTCCGCCGAGCACGGTGCGACTGGGGCCAGGAAGACCCGGAAGCGAATCGATAAGTCGAATCGGCGATAGAAACTAATCGGGTCGGCGGAAATCGACTCACAAGCTGGGAGGAGTCGAGCCGGCGGAAATCGGCAGAGTAGTAAGGTCTCATTGTGAGATCGGAGTCCAAATGGGAATGCTAAGCCGAATCGAATCGGAATCGGAATCCATCGGAGTCGAATCGAATCGAATCGTAGGAATCCAAACGAGCCCTGCTGGGGCCGAGCCCCTGCCTCCACCTGAGCCTCGGATGCTGACTCCGCGTGGACCGTTTAATTTTTTCGATGCCTCCCATATGGGGTCCCGGCAGATGGGGTCGGAGGATCGCGCCGCATCGGCAAAGCACCAGCGAAAACATCAGCGACGTCGGCGATGCATCCGCGACGCTGGCGTGAGAAAATCAGGCTCCACATCGAGCCGCATCGCCGATGCATCGGCGAGGCGGCGCGATCCTCCGACCCTGCCTGCTCTGACCCCGTGTGGGTGCCCTGGAGTCTTGCCCATCGGAGATTCCCAGAGGCGTGCGACCCGAACGCGGCCCCCCGGAGGCATGACTCATGACCTTGAATGCCTGCGCCGGAGTACAGCCATCGCGCTACCATAAGGAGCGCTCTCTAGGGAACGATGAGGTTGTCTGGCCACGGCAAGCCTCGGCCACGAATAGATACCCTGATCTGGGTCTAAGGAACGGCTCGAAAACCAGCAATTCCTAAACTCAAGAGTGGTTCTTCTTTCAGCGTCTCGATGGCATGGCAGGCGGTGCGGGAAGGAACACGCAGCAACGCGCCGAGGTGCGACCCGAGCGTCATCTCTCCAGAGGTGCCGGTGGCGCTGCTCGACCGAGGCCGAGCCTCGGGGCCGATCGCGACGCCCTCAGAGCGTGGCTGGCGCACGCGAAGGGAAAGCAAAAGACGCGCCCTCCTGCGATAAGACTGATTCTGTTGCATCGTCCGGGGACCTCCTGTCCCACGGTGCCGCTACCCACGTCGAATCCATGTGGGACTCGTCGAATCCGCGTCGAAACCACGTCGAACCCACGTCGAATCCGCGTCGAGTCCGCACCGAGCTCGCGTCGGGCGCAAGAGAAGACACCTAGTCTGGGGACAGACGAGATCCCCTGAAGGTGCAGCGCAATTACTGGGTGTGCGCACGCAGAGGGCGTGCGGGAGAAGCTCGGGTGCAGCTCGCTGGGCCGCCGTGGCTGACGCCGCCCAGTGCAGAGACGCGCTCGGCGCAGCAGCGTCTGCAGGGCGGGAGCGGAGGACGAAGAGGAGCTGGAGCATGGCCACACCGTGCAAGACAGGCCTGGCCAGCGCACGCAGGGCGGACAACACGCGGAGGAAATCTGCCACCGTGCCGCGAGGCACGAGTTGGAGTGTCCTCAAGTCTTCTGCAGTCCTCAGTCCTCAAACATCCCAGCATGGCCATCGTGGACCCTCAAAGAATATGCCTCCAGCATTCAATGTTGTGCACCCTGTGTGAAACAATACATGTGGTGCAATCTACCCGCCACCGTGCCGTCGCACGCTGAGGCGTGAACAAATGCCACGTGCTGCCTGGCAGAGTTGTTAACACTTCTAAGGGACCCCCTCCTCTCATCGCACCCGGTTGCGTGCACCAACCCTACTTCTGGGGCTCCCTAAGCGGCCAAGGCGCCTCCCTTGCGCTCTCCGAGGCGTCCAGAGCGCCTGAGATGGTCCAAGAGGCCTTCGTGACGGCATCTTATGGCCCACGATGGCTTCGAGACGGCCCAAGAGGGCTCCAACATAGCCTCCCAGAAAACCCGAAGAGGCCAACATCAATGACGCTCCGTAAGTTGCTGGATGGCGGGAGGATGCTCGCACTCTCGCCGTCTCGAGCTTTCGTCGGCTCAAAGCAGCAAGAAGGGCCTTCAAGGTGGCCTCAAGATGTCCCAGGAGGGCACCAAGAGGGGCCCACAGATGGCCCCAGAAGGTGCCACTGTGGCCCAATAGCAGCCCACGAGGACCCCAAGTCGGCCCAAGAATGCCAAGGTCCCTAACGAGCCCCAAGCCGACCCAGAGAGCCCCCCCAATGCGGATGCTGACAGCGCCCACGCCGCCCTGAGCCCTCTCGCGCGGCCCCATCTCTCAATACACCCTCCCCGTGACCTTCGAGAGGTCAGACTTGTCACACGTGACGGCCTCCCGCGCCCCCTCGGATACTCGCCACCCAACATGCAGGAATGGCACGGCGGCGGGAGTTGCTGCAGGCAGCCGGGTGTGGTGCAACCTACATGGTACAATTCGCCCTGCTGAGCTTGAAGTTGGCAACGCCACTGCTCGCGCATTCATCCCACACACCCGCCCACAGCTTGGTTTGCCCTACCCACGCGGCGGCGACTGCGATGACTGCCTGGTGCTGACTGGCGCATTGCTGCGGCCGCGCTGGCGCGCGCAGGCTCGCACGCAGAGCGGCAAGCTACTCTGGCGCGATCGACGCGGCCGCGGGTGGAGGAACACATAGTCCAATAGTTTGGCCAGACTTCGGCCCAAGGCTTGGCCGCACGGGCTTTTCCAAACGGCAGGGGGCGGTGGTGATTCGCCGTAGGCGTCTTCGATGAATCGGCGACCGCGGTCCACCCATCGGGAGGGCCGAGGGAGGTGGGCGTGCAGAGGGGGTCGCGAAAACTGTGGAACGTGCAGCTGCCTTCGGCTCCGCAACCTCGCTCTTGCCTTGGATGCACGTTTTTTCGAGGCCCCAAACCCGAACAGTGACGGACCGCGTGGTGACCTCGGCATCCCCAACGACCTGACTGCGCGGTCCGTCACCGCACGGCTTTGGGACCTCGGACGACCCAATCGCCCGAGGCATCCTCGGAGAACGATCCAAGTCACAGAACCGTGCGGTGACCCCGAATCCCCACTGACTCACCACGCGCTGGGGTCACCATACTGTCTAGGTGTCCCCGAGGTCGGCCCAGGCGCCTCGATGAAGTCCGAGGGGACTAGCTGCGTGCGGCCGGTTCCCAACCCCATCTTGGCGAAGCCCTCCCGTCGCCCCCCTGCCGAACCAGGGACACCGACTATGAGCACATCGGGCAGACGACGGACGAGGTCTGAGCAGCTCCTGTCTGTGGCCAGGTCAATGCATGGACCACGGTTGGGCTCTGCGTCGCCCGAGCTGGAGCCGGCGATGCAGTGGGGGGCCCAACCACAAGAAACCTTCCACAAGACACCCAACCCTGAGACCCCAGGGCGTCTGTTGATTCTTGATGCAGGAGCGCCGCGCCTTCCACAGCAAAACCATCGAAACCCCAAACACTCAAAGCACCCTGGAGGCAAGCGGGGTGTTTCTTGACATGGGCCTCCACTGTACATCGCCCATGGATCGGCGGTAGGCCCCCCATATCGCATCTGCACGCTCCTGGGCGGGGTGGGCTCTCTGTCGGCGATGACCGTGCGAGTGGGGTCCGATGCACTCTCCCAATGAGCCCATCCCCCCAAACGTTGCCCCCCCTGGCCTCCCCCACATCCTGGCCTCCTCTGATGTGGGGACACCAGCTGGGGAACCCAACAACATCGTACGCGCCCAACCATGTACATGCATACGGCCCTCCAATTCGAGAGGCCAACCTTGTGTTACGAACGTTAGCACAGTCATACTCTCGAAACCCACGGAGTATCAGGTGAACGTTCAATTTTAGGCGCTCCTGATCAACCGCATCCGCATGTGGTCCCGCCACCTGTTCAATACGCATTTGTGTTGATATCCCCCCCCCGTGACGTCCGTTACGGGAGGGAGGGGGGGCGGGGCCTGCGTGAGTCACACTAACTATGCTTGTGAGCACCACAGCGTGCATGTCAGCACCACAGCATGCCTGGAAGTACCGCACCATGCCTGTGGGGAAACCAGCACCCACCTCCCGCGTACGTTCGGCATACCATTGCTGGGAGGTGGGGGCGACCCCCAGCTCTGGACGTCAGTGGTTCTCGGAACAGGGCGAGTTGAGACAACGGCGCCTCGCCATCGGTCCCCTGACCCATTGATAGCGCGAGCACCAAATCTGCTGGGGTGGCCCCCCAATGTCAGTCCCCCCCCCCCCCCCCTGACGCGCCCCCCCAATGTCAGTCCCAAAACAACGTTTCCAGCCCCAGCACTTGTTGTGTTGGTCCCGGCTTATCTCGTGTCTGGCGCCACCTCCTCGAAGTAGAGCGCCGCGGCGCAGTCAGGCAGTGCCTTCTTCTCCCCTCCCTTCCTTGCTCCTGCGCGCGCGCGCACTGGCAGGAGGGAGGGCCATCTCAGTTCTGACTCAGGCAACTAAGATTGAAGACGCGATGCGGTCGCCGAAAACTCACCCAGACCGCCTGGAAAAACGAGCCGTCCCCACAGGCTTGAGATTGTCATTTGCTGTATGGCGTGGGGCTCGTGGACGGGGGGGCGCAAACGTGGGGTGAAGAAACTTGCGACCTTCTTTCGGGCCCGCGGTGGCAGTTCGGGGAGCATTTGGGGCCCCTCGTAGAACAACTTCCCTGCAGTCCTGGATCCTCCCTCACGTTTCCACTCGGACCTCGGACAGGAAAACACCCTTCAAGAACATGAGACCCTCCGCCGGCCAAAACACACAGAGCATCCAAGGGAAGCCTCCGCCATGATGCACAACACAATCCAACAACACACGAAGAACCTTAGGGTACCCTCCTCGAAGCGACTTCGATCTGATACCTTTAGACTGTCTCCCCGTTGCCGTCCGCCCGGCAGGCGGCGGATGCGTAGAAAAAACTAGCCTCGGAGATCGCGGCGCAGGGCGCGCATGAGCCTGTCGACACTTTTGCACTGCTTTATGCCCGCTTGATAGCGGCTAGCGCTTTGGTGCGGGACACGGGGTGCATGTGTCGATTGGCAGTTGCTCGAAAAGCGTTCGAGTACCCAAAGGCGCCATTGCCCCATCGGGCCACCTCGATCTTCTACGATGGTCAGGCCGCAAGGGGCGGAGGATCCCAGCGGGAGCTAGATCAGATCACATACTCGGCAGCGACCCCGAGAAGGAGCGGGCCTGCTCAGAAGGCTCGAAGTCCCCCAGCCCTCTGAGAAGTGTTCTAAGCCTTTCCCGAAGACAGTAAATATTCTCAGAAGGCGCGAGGGCTTCTGAGAAGTCCCGCCGCCTTCGTGAGAAGGCCTTCTCCTTCTCACTTCCCCCTCGGGCGCGCCGCCGACATACTCCAGACTTCGTGATAAGAGGGAGGGGGTCACAATCATCCCAGACGGGCAATTCTCGATCCCCCCCAAGCACGCTATGAAAGGGCGGCCTTGTGCCCAGACCCAGTGGAACCCTCCAGGACAGCTCAAAACACACACCCCTCCCAAATCAGACCCCCCTTTTGATTGTGAAATCTGGAGCATGCCGTCGTCCCCGCTCGCCCCCTGGCCCCAACCCTCGTGGGCCCCAGACGGGAGGCGAAGGCGAAGACGAGGCCAGGAGCAGATGGCGGCCGGGAGCTGCTGTAGGGTAGCTCCACCTCCTCCTCCTCCTCCGACTCCGACTCCTCCTCCTCGTCCTCCTCCCCCTCCCCCTCCTCCACACCCGCACCCTGCTGAGGTCAGGTCCCACCCCTCCTCCTCCTCCTCCTCCTCCTCCTCCTCCTCCTCCTGATCCTCCTCCTCCTCCTCCTGATCCTCCTCCTCCTCCTCCTGATCCTCCTCCTCCTCCTCCTCATCCTCCTGGCAATCCTCGTCCTCCGACGCCTCCCCCTTCATCCTCCTGCTCCTCCAGTCCACCTTCCCCTCCTCTTCGGAAGCCCGCGGCGCGGGGCACCCCGCGGGCGTTCTTGCCCTCGCAGTCCTCTGGGGGGCACCCCCGGGGGGGGGGGCGCGTGGCGAGGGCGCGAGGGGCCACCGCGGCCGCCCGGAGGTGCGGGGAGGCGGCCGCGGATTCGACGCGGATTCGGCTCGGGCTCGAGCTTGGGCTCAGGTTCGGGCTCGGGTTCAGGCCCGAGCTCGGGCTTGGACTCGGTCTCGGGCTCGAACTTGGGCTCGGAGTTGGGCTCGGGCCTGGGCTTGGTTTCGGTCCTGATCATACCATGCTCTCTTCAAAAATTCGGCATGGCAACCAGGCCCATCAGGGTCCGTGCGCAACTCTCTCTCTCTCTCTCTCTCGATCAAAGAAGACAGGGTGAGCGCGGAGAGCAGGAGAAGAAGGAGGACAGTTGGCGGAGGATAATAGGAAGGGGAAGACCGAATGGAGGAGGAGGAAGGGGAGGATAAGGAGGAGGATGAGCATATGAGAAATTCGATCCTCTTCCCCCCCTCTCCCCCCCCCGCGATCCAGGATCTCCTCCACTCTGAGCGGGGGTGGGGAGATCGCGGATTGCGGGAAAGAGCGAGGGAGGAGGGGAGACGAGCGGGGGATGACGAGGACGTGGGAAGGCCGAAAACGGCAGAATGCTCCGCCCTGCTGTCGTGCCCCCCCTCTGCCAACCCCTCCTCATCCCGTCCTTTTCCGACCTCCTTCTCGCCCGCGTCTCTACTCCACCTCCTCCTCCTCCTTCTCCTCCTCCTCCTCCTCCCCCTCCGCCTCCTCTTCCTCTGTCAATGATCCTGTCCCCATCCTGTCCCCCTCCCTCCCCCTCCTCCTCCTCCTCCTAATCCTCCTAGTCTGTTATCCTGTCCCCATCCTGCCACCCCATCTCTCTTCTTTCCTCTCTGCTCCCGCACAACTGTTCCATCTTATCACATTCAATTTAGCAGTTTTGCCACAACTCCTCTTCGCGGCTGCAGCACGTGCGACACATGTAGGGAGCCCACGGCCTCTTGCATCGCCACACCTAACGCATTGGTGTTCGCAATCAGTGAACGTCCAACGGCTCACTGCTCAGACGACGGACTGTGGCGCCTCATGTGATCCATTAGTAGTATGATGAAACATCCTGCCGCACAATCTCAATCACTAAGTCTCCCGTCTTTTCGAACCGTTCGATTGAGGTTGTCTTTGCGCGAGGCAATATCCTACGCCTGTACACCGCCTGACCGTTCTCAGGTCTGACATGCCGCCGGTTAACGTGTCATAAAATCACTGCCACTGTCACCGCTGTGCAAGATTTTGCTCGACGTGGTGTGGAGTCCTCCGAAGGCCTCTGGTGGGTCAGCAACAGCAGTATCAATGACACGCCGGAGTGGGGAACCCATCATCGTGTTACTATTGAGGGAACACCCACGTCTTCGAACAAGTACAACGGAGTAACACGCCGACGGGCTCGCAACGGCGGCGAGTCATTGATAATTGCTCGTTTCTCCTCCTGGTCTGGGAGGGCCTGGATCCTGGCCTCACATGCCGACGGGAAGGAACCCGCGGGGGCGGCCCCTTGGGAGGACGCCGCTGGGTCGGAATCCCGCCAAGCGCCCTTCCAGCTGCAACGTCCCTGCGCCCGCCCAAGAGGGGGTGTCGCGCCTGCGCAGCCGCGATCCCTCGAGCAAAAATAGCACGACGGGTCGAGGAGGAGGAGGAGGAGCACGAGGAGGAGGTGGAGGAGGAGGAGGAGGAGGAGCACGAGGAGGAGGAGGAGGAGCAGGAGGGGGAGGAGGCAGAGTGCCCCGCAGAACAAGCTACAGTCATCGTGCTGCCACAAGGTACGCAGTCTACGGAGCGACAGCGCGTCTCGGGCCACGGCGAGCTCGGGCCACGAACAGGCTCCCCGAGCTGGATCCGAAGAACGCCCTGGACCAACGACGCCGCGCTCCCCAGGCCACGATGCATTGCAGAATGCAGTGTATGCACGCTCGCGCAGCCACGATCCTTTGTAAACTGCGATGCGTGCAGGCTCCCAATGACACGATCCATAACAACTTACATGCGCAATCCGAGGCTACGACCCCCTGTGTAAAATATGTCCTGCCCTTCCGAGGGCGCAATATATTGAAAACATGGGTCCGCGATCAGACATCTAAACCTCCTGCTTCAACATTGGATCTGCGAAGCCGAGGCCGTGATCACGATCCTTCGCAGAAGAACCGAAGGCCACGATGTCTCTCACAGTTACGATCCCTCTCACAACCATGGGCCCACGTTAATTCCCCACCCCTGTGCCCACCGTCTCTTCCACCGATCTGGCCTCCGATGGCACGGCAAACAGACCACCCAGCCGACCAGTCCAGCATCCAATCAGCCAGCCAGCCAGCCAGCCAACGGACAAGCCAGCCATCCAACCAGCCTGCCAGACAACCAGACAACCAACGGACAAGCCCAAGGATCGACCTAAACTATTGTTGCTCGCTTTTGCTTTCGTATTGTTTGAAATGTCCCTGATTTTGTGCTCAATCCGCACTCGCTGCAAAACAAACGCGAAACGCAAAGGGCCCACGAAATCGCCCAAACACCGTTCAGGTCTAACCTCATGGAAAAAACCAGCCATCCAACCAGCTGACCGGCCAGCCCATCGGCCCACCAGCCAGCCAAGCAGCCACCTAGCCAGCCCGCCGATCAGAAAAAGGCTTGCCGACAGAGGGTGACACCCTCTGGATATGCGTACTTACCACGTCGACGGACCTATGCAACAGACCGCATGCATCCTATGCCTCTTACCTCTCACCCTTCCTGCTCTTCCGTCGCTGCAGCATGAACGGCTCCTGGCCCTTGCAGCCCAGATACCTGGACAAGTACAGCCCGGTGCCCGTTGCCTGTACCTGGCGAGAACTCGTTGCGGGATGGGGCTCTCTTGCAGCGCTCGCTGCGCAGTGGGGGCTGGAATGCACAGCGAAATAAATAAACTTGAAGGATTAGGACTCGCAGTGGCAAGACAAGAGGGCCACCGCTTCTCGAGAGAGCGAAATAAACCGTCGCTAATCAACGGCGAAGCCCTGTGGTATTTCATCACCTAATGGGAAGCCAACGTAGCCTTCCCCCACCCCCTCTGAACATATGCGATGGGGGATATCTTCTGCGAGGGGAGGGGCCGATGTGGGGAAGGCAAAAACTGCGGCGACGGAGACGTCTGCGGCGACGGCTGCGGCGACGGCAGAACTGAGAGCCGACAGATCCGACAGCGGAACTCCAGCCGACCAAAAGCAACAGACCGAAAAAAGCCAAGACAAGTTCACCAGAGCAACAACAGACCGAGCCAAGCCGACCAAACGCGGTCTAGTCCGACGCGGCCGACCGACCGAACCGAATCGAGGGCACCCAAGAGGTCAACAGAGGTCCCCCTGACGATTCTGGACTTCTGGAGGCCCACGAAGAGCAGCCAACATACACATCTAACAACCAAAACACAAATACGTTGGCAAAAACGGAAGCCCTCGGGATGACCTCGCCTGAAGGAGGGTCCCACGCAGGGTAGGTCAGACCCTAAATGTAACAGGGGATCGAAGGCCCCCGTCGGCGCTGTAGTACCTGTGACGAGCATCACTGTACCTGTGAGCCACTCTTGTGGTTGAAGGTGTTAGTACAGCAACACCGCACCTGTGATCCAAAATTGTGGATAGAGGTCCCCGTCGGCGCATATGAAGAGCACCACCTTACCTGTGAACCAAAACTGTGGTTGGAGGTCACAGTCGGCGCAAAAGTAACTGCGACAAGCACCACCGTACCTAGTGAAAGCGAGCAAGACGACGAGGAGGCTTCCCCGCGACTGGGGGGTGGCCGGGGGAGAGAGGGAGGAGGGCGTCCAAGAGGGGAGTTCGCCAATCATGTCCCCAGGCACGAGCGCGGAAGCGGGGGGGACCAGGGGACGCATTGAGAGATGAAGAACAATTCGGGGAGAAAACAAGGCCTCGGGCATGCGATCCTCCCCCACGGGTTCTCACCCCCCTCGGAGAGACGCCCCCGGAGATGAAGGCACCCTGTGCAGAGGCCCCCCCCCGGACGGGGAGCTCCGCAGCGGCCGCGCAGGAGGTCCCACCACAGCCCTTCGGAAGGGGTCCGAGCGGAGCTGGGGCGGGGACTGGCCATCGCTCGGACGCCCGGCCATGGCTCGTACCTGGGTGACGCTCCAAAGCAGGTCTTGCGCGAGGTGACGAGGCGACCTTACGCGGCGGCTTACGCGGGCCGCCAGCGCGGCACGCTGTTTTGGAGACGAGGGCGCTTACGCGCGACCTTACGCGGGCTGCTCACGAGCCAATGTCGGCGCAGACGACCCCGTCACAAGATCATCGAACATGCTCCCCGACAGTCCTCGCCAAGCGATGCCAAGCGGAGCCGCAGCAAGGCGCTGCGATGGGGCCGGCCGCCGCGGGCCGGCCACGGCGAGGGAGGGCCGCGCGGCGTGCCGCGACGCACCGCGCAGATCTGGGGGCGGCGAGAGCAAGACATGCAGCCAACCCGTATAAGAAGGACGCACAGTAAGGATGCTGGGGCCTCGGAAGGCCGTCTGGAGATCTCGTCGAGCGGGGCGCGGCCAGCGAAAGTGGCCAAGGATGGGCCGACGGGGCAAGGATGCAATTGTACGCTTGGGAAGGATGCCCATCCTTGTTATGCGGGTTGACTGCATCCACTGCCCCAGGCCGGGCCTGGGGCAGTGGATACTTGTTCCGGCGCAAGCATGTTTGGAGAAGAAGGAGGGGCACGGGGAAGGAGACGATCGCGCAAAAAACCATCACGTACACGATTGCCCTCAAATCAGTCCGACTGGCAGCGTCTCTGAACCGAAACCCTCAGGCTTGAAACTGACAGTGACTGATGAGGAGAGGAAGAGGAGAAGACCTGGGGCAATGGATGTGTGTAGATCCCGCCGCCCGAAGGTCGGGGGGGGCAAGGGTATCGGGCAGCGGGCAGGCGAGGCGATGCGCCGCCCGCCTTGCGTCAGAGGGGAGACGAAGCCAGGACGGGAGACAGTCGGACCGAGGTGTCCTCTGATCACTGCACAAGCCTTGCGGGCGTGCTGCAGCGGATTTTTGCATGGAGTTCTGTCAACGCACAACCCTGAAACGGCGAAGGGGGAACGAAACGAATTGCTCGCTGATTTGTTGTAGTCTCCATTCCTGGCCAAACAAATCCGCGCGAAATTCGCTTCGAAATCTGGAACGAAATTAACCGAGTGCTCCCGATAATAATCCCCGTGGGATTACGAAGATCGGGGATACGGCTGGGAAAATTAACGATTTTCCAGGGGAAGGTGATGTTATGATGACGATGATGATGCTGCTGCTGATGATGATGGTGACGATGAGGACCCTGGGCGCTCGTAGATCTCGGCACAAGACTGACTCGAGAGATCTCGAGGCTCGTGGCTGCAACTTGCCTGCGCAAGAGAGGCCCTTGACGCTCCTGGCCAAGAAACCGTGTGAGGGATGCGCTAAAAAAGTAACTCCAATGCTATGCCTGCGCGCAAAACGCGTGTAACTTCAAAATCCAATCGGTCCCCATGGCCATGCCCCACACGTTCCTGACTCGGGAACGACTGGGAAAGAGAGAATCCCATGGCCCTGCCGCACGTTCGTGACTTGGGAAAACTGAAACGGTGAGAATCCCCCAGCCCTGCCACACGCTCGAGATTGCGGAAGCTGAAATGGTGAGACCACCATGGCCATTCTCAGCGTTGTTGATGCTGTTGCTAAACAACATGAGATGATAACAACTTCGACTCGTAACTTCCCTCGGGGGCTATCAAGTTCGGCCTCCGCGCCCCTCTCCACAATTAAATCCTATTGACACGGGATTAAACAATAGAGGGGGGAAGGGGGGGGTACATTTTCATCGGGGGCACTCGGTTATCCAGGACGTATAGATTCCCAGACCCGGATAGCTGAACGCCAAAGGGCGTGCGAAGGCCTATCGAAGAACTCTGGAATGACCTGCAGAGAACTTCCGAAGGACCTTCTGGACAGCTTCTGTGCACGCGTAGTGGGAAACGCTTAAGAAAGGCCTCTCGGGACTCGCTGCAGCTTCAAGCGAGTTGCTCCCAGATGTTCTGACGGAGGCTGGAACGAGCTCCAGGGCTACCCTGCGGCTCCGGCTTCTGAATGTGATCTGAAACCCTCCCAGCTCTCAGAGAGCTATCTAGGTACAATATGGGCCCATCCCAATCCCATCCCTGGCCCAAAACAATCCGCGCGAAATTCGATTCGAAACCGGAAAGAAATTATCATGGACAAGTTGGGCCAATCCCATTGTTTCCCCAACGAAATCCGCTCTGCGATCTTGGCGCCATGACTCTGTACTGTCTGGCAGCTGTGGGAGCTACCTCGGGCGCCGCTGCCGCTCCAGAGCGCCCCCCAGGGCACTCCGAGAGAACTCCGGAGCGACTTGCCCCCGTCGTGGCCAAGACGGGGCCAGGACGAGGATAACATTGTAGGCAGAGGGATTTCGCCTCGTGATGCGAAGTCCCCCCCCGAATCCACCTCCTCCTCCTCCTCCTCCTCTTTATATCCTCCTCCTCCTCCTGCTCCTCCTCCGATTCGCATCACGTGGCGGATCCAAGTCGCTGAAATGGGTGAGGATAACTCGAATCTCTGCGATACCGCGGCTCTGGAGGATGTCTCGGGCGCCGCGGCCTTCTCAGAGCGTTCTGGAGCGCTCAAGCCCCGCCCGACGAACCCCGCCAAAAAGAATCGACGAGTGGGCAAGCGAAGCGAGGCGCCGACGCGCGCGCGTCTGGAAGGAAGGGCGCGTTTTCAGAGAGGGAGGGGAGGGAGAGAGAAGAGGGGGAGAGAGGGAAAGAGGGAGAGAGAGCACGGCGGGATGGGCCAGAGCCAAGGCGGACGCTCGGAAGCACAGTGCGCGCGCGGAGAGGGAGGGCACCGACGGCGACACCGAAGGGCGGGGAGGGCCAGGGAGAGAGGAGCTCTCGGTTCACACTAAAACACCCTCATTCGCATGCGCGTGCCAGGCAACTGGATGGCGACGAACAACACATCCGGCGTCATCACAAACGTGCAGTATTGAAAGACGTGGGCGATCGCCGCTCGCAGTTCTCCGCCTCTCACCTCCGCCCTCCTCCCTGCTTGCCCGTGATGGGCACGGCCGATCGCCGTGGGCCACCGTCGACTCGATTCCGTCATCCTCCTCGCCACCAGCTTCCTGTTCCTCCTCTGCTGCGCCGATCGCAAGTCAAGATCCCAAATTTGCATCCAAGCGCAGGAATCATGGGCGAGACCAGGGGGGACGTGATACGGGACAGGCCTTCTCAGAAGGCTCGGAAGTCCCCCGGCCTTCTGCCAACTTATGTTGCTGCCTTCCCCGAAGACGCGGGCAGTGTCTCAGAAGGCACAAGGGTTTCTGAAAAAGTCCCGCCGCCTTCTGAAAAAAAGACCTTTTCACTCGAACTCCCCCCCTCGCTCGTTGCCGAAAGGGTCCAGAAGATCGCGGAGTTCACTGCTTTTGCCAATCCATCGGCATACTGAGCAAACGTGTCTTGTTATTGATGGGTTGTTATGCGTGTTGGTTTTCTTCTATTAGCTCACGAGAAGCTTACCTCCCACTACGAATTGCTGGGAGCACGCACATGGCTGCGCAAGTCCGCCAAGCGGAACTACTCTACGCAAAATGTAGTGTTTCCGCGCGCGCGCTCGAGGCGGGCCCGCCGTTGCCCTCGCCGCCTGGGGCGGCGCCCCTGCAGCGCGAGGGCAGCGGGGGCGGCCCCCTGAGGGCGCTCGCATTGATGCTCGGCCCTTGAATGCTTACGTGTACCCGGAATAAAGCGTTCACAATCGACATCCCATTTCGAGGTCTCCCCATCCAGCGCCTCAAG